TAACACGTCATGTCTGCATGTAAGTGGACAGGACGCGTCATTTGCGCGCGCTATTGTCGCGCTCTTTGCCAAGTTAGATGTTTCTTTTCTTTTTTGTTATCAAAACGTATAGCCGATGTCTGTTTTTTCCTTTGAATTTTGTCATAACTTTAATTAATTGGTAACAGGACTTCGTGTCTTGCAATTCTGTCTGTAATCATACTCGTCATAAACAAATCGGACTCCCGGTACATTAGCTCAGTTAGGAATAACCCGTTTCAAGCCCTCAGACCAGGGTAGCGGGTGCCGAAAGAACTGTCGTAGGACTGTGGCGGCGAATGTGGTTATTAAGAGAACAGCTTTGTGTAGCCTTATTTTTTTCTCTTTGCGTGATCCTACCTGGTAATTCCTTCTTCTCCTCTGACAGAGGGTCTGGTAAGGGGCGGGAAATTAATCAATGTCTTTATGGTTTTTTTTCAAAACTACATTACACCGATAAAGATGAACAAGGGTTTCAAGAATTCAGAGACCGAGTAGATGTATGAAATTAACATTTGAGTAGCATTAGGCTGCGCGCATGGGATATGCCATTTATATATTTCATGAGTGAAAACAACAATTATCACATGTTATGCCGTGATTCAGGTCAAAAGTTTTGTCCTTGGCAACATTCATACAAGTCAAAGTACAAGAAAAAGTGCAGTTTGCAAATAAATTGTTAAGTTCAATTTTTTAAACCAGCTTGACATTTCATTTCCCTCTGTCTTGAGTTCATTGTCATACTCTGAAACAAGGAAAATTAAAATCAAACTGGTCTAAAATATCAGACATAGTTTGACGCTACTCTGGTTTGCAGATTTAATGAATGTAACCGAAGAAGTTACGATTCATAGACCCAACGTTTCGACACTCCTGTCTAGTGCCTTCATCAGGGGTGAACTACAGGCACTAGACAGGAGTGTCGAAACGTTGGGTCTATGAATCGTAACTTCTTCGGTTACATTCATTAAATCTGCAAACCAGAGTAGCGTCAAACTATGTCTGATTGTCCACCTGGTTGCCGTGGGAACTTTAATATATTTTTTTTTGGTCTAAAATATATTTAATTAAATAAGAAAAAGTTTGAACCTCAGCATATATAACTCCAAGCAGCAGATCATTTTAAATTCGTTACTGTGAAATGGGTAAAAAAAAGTTGCTATCGGCATGAAAGAAAAGAATCAAGGAGAAAACGAAAACCACAGAAAACCTCCTGAATGCAAAAATCGCGGTGCCATTAATTTGATCGACAAACGTAAATATATCTCGTATCGCATGACAGCGTTTCTATATTTAATGTTCTAAAGCTTGATACTGATTAAAGGGATTTAAAAATCTGAAGGAAAAATGACTGATGGTTAAAAAAAAGGAAATAATGTATCTCCCTAGAAAGATCGAAGAATGGAAAGCATAAATTAATCAAATTTTGGAACTCTTAATTTTGCACGCCATTACGATCGACCATTTCCTGCGATAAAGAAAAAAATTTCTTCCTTAAAAATTATAATTAATTTATCAACTCACCATTCTGAGACCTACTTTCACTATTCACCAGATTTTTCGGGACAACCTGGACGATATTTTCGTGGTGAACATGTTGGCTGAATGATCTCACGCGCCATTAAGATTAATAACGACAAGGCGTTCCTTTTACGTGTAGGTACTGGGAACTAATTAGACTGAGTGGTTTGTGATCGTGAATGTAAAAAGGCCAAAGGTAAGTTTCTAAGGAAAAAGTGGTGCTGCGTCGGTGGGAGAGTATAACAAGATAATTTTGGTATTATCAACTGAATTAATAACGTAAAGTTGTGACCGCAGAGAGTTTCAAAGCTGACGTTTCGAGCGCTAGCCCTTCGTCAGAGCGAATGAAAGTTTGTGAAGATGGGTCCGCTGGACTTGCGCATTCAATTTATGGAACATGAATATGAAGCCCGTTTGATAGGAAAATACCACGATGCCATGATAATCAATACATGATCCTGAGCATCAGGGATAAAGCATAACTAGAAGCTAGGGTTATGCACAATCATAAGCAAATTTCGTTTTTTAAAGCTTGTTTGCGGATTTTTCCATCCATCGCCAATTCCATGACATTAGACCCAGATGTTTTGCAAAATTGGTGGAGAATTTACTCAAGATTACAAGAGTCAGTACTAGTAATGACGCCAAAAAATTCACAATTGTCTGAAGTCAAACACCTCTCTTTTACTTGTTTCCCCTCGCTTTACATTGACAAGATCATTTTACGCTTCCCAGGTGACACTTTCAGTAAAGATGCTTTATCAAGCTATACTGAAACCATGGAAAATCACTAGACGTTTTAGAAATAACAACAAAAGGAAGTAGTCAAGAGTAATTTCATGAAAAGAATGACGACAGAATTGAGGACCACACCGTGAAATGTTAAATAACAAAAATTTTCAGTGTTCACAACAAATTTAATATGCATATTACATTAAATCTGTCTTTTTTAACATTTCTGAAACAGACAAGATTTTGATATTACTTTGACTTCAGTTGATACACTGACGAAAAGTTAAAAGGATTTTCAAATGAGAGTTGAAGATGCAGAGCAAGCTAAGTGCAAACCAGTCCAAGAGTTATTCGCTTTGATTTATCTCACTCTACAGAAACTGGGTCAGAAAAATACCGCAACCTTAGCTTTTTAGATATAAACGAGCTGCATCTTCAATTTAAACTTTTTCCACAATTTGTCCAAAAAATGGTTTTTTTGCACTCCTAGATTACACCGGCTGCTAATATTTGGCTGCCATTGTCGACTGGCTTTTGTTCAATTTGTGATGGCTTTATGAAAAGTATCTTTTAAAATTCCCTACTCAAGTATTTTCCTGTATAACTATCTTTCTTCTCAAATTCTGTAGGTAATTGATCTGAAGCCACGATGAGGAAATTGACGAGATGTAGGATACTCCGCGATGAAAGTTTGACTCGGAGAAAACTGATCCTGTTTCTTGGCGCGATCATATTCACCATTTATTTGCTTGTCCAAAGAAATGAAGGAACAGCGGACCATCAACAGACAGGAGGGAAGCCAATTTCAGGTACCACTCGTTAATTTAGTGCTTATATCAGTCAGCTGAGGAAGTGAAAGGTGTAACCAATTAGAATATGACGTTGCTAATTCTCTTCCTTTAGAGCGTAATTCTCTTACCCAGAGCTTCGGCTGCCAATTGGTCGTCAATTACAATAAAACGGCAGGATCTGGGTAAGAGATTAGTTTGGACTGCTAAAGAATTCAAATGATACAAAGGACCACAAAAGATTTCATAAAAATGCTATTTCTTGTTTCAAAATATTTATCTCATCACTGCCGATACTTTGACATTTTCTACCCTTATTTCATTGTATTCTTTTAGGAATCTGGCGTTCTTTGTATCCATTTCATGCCAATGACAGTCTAAGTGGCGAAAGTTTACCACTTGGACAGATGCCAACATATGAACAACGTAAAGAGGCAAGATGCGGTCATAACTGGCAGAAAAGTTATATAAAACTACACCAGGACATTCTTCAGGCACGGCGCCCGCAAAAGTTTATCGTGTTCACGTGCAAAGAAGAAGGATACGGGTGCGGGGGTTATGGAAATAGACTTGGAGGAATTACTTCACTTTTATTTCTCTCTATCTTGACACAAAGAGCACTTTTAATAGACTGGGATCATGGAGCCCCACTTGAACGTTTCCTTGTCCCAAAAGGTGTTCAGTGGAACTATTCTATGGAGAATTTAAAACATTTGGACTCAAGGATACATTATTTAGGAAAAAAAGAACATTTCAAGAAGACTCGAAGTGATGTTTTGAAGCCGTGGAAAACAAAACTAGATTTTCAAGCGTGGCTGCGGCAGGCAGACCTCTCATCGTATTTCGATCACCCCGTTGAGAAGATTGTCAGCAATTGGAATTTTGCAAACGCCTTGTTGGAAAAGCCTTTCCTTGAGAAAAACTTCAATGAATCGCTAAGAAAAACCAACAACTCCTTGGTAGGTTGTGCTTTCGATTTCCTTTTTCTCAAGTCTAAAGAGCTAGAAATCAGGCTAAGCACAGCTAGACACTCACTCGGTCTCACAAACAAAGTTTTAAAAGTGGGATTTCATATAAGAATGGGCGATGTGGCTCTCCACAGAGGTTCAAACTCCAACAACCTTAATTACAGGGCCTCTTTCCGTTGTGCACAAAATCTTAGAGACGCACTAGCACAGCAAACAAGAGGTTTTCAAACGGACATCAAATTGTTTCTAGCAACAGATGATAAAGATGTCAAACAATACGCACTCATGAACTATGCTTCAGATGTAGTTACTTTGGACATAACCCCGCATCACATAAAATCACTCCAAGGAAGGAACATTCGACACTCAGAGCCAGTGGAGGGTATTTTCAATGTCATGTTGGACCATTTTCTGTTATCTGAATGTGATTTCCTTATTTTGTCAATGAGTACCTTTGGTCTCACTGCGGCGGAGTTGAAGTTCCATCCCTCACAAACAGTTACGTTCGGACATAAGATTATGCGCTCAAATGATCACTGCGGCCGAGTTGAAGTTCCATCCCACACAAACAGTTACGTTCGGACGTAAGATTATGCACTCAAATGATCACTGCGGCCGAGTTGAAGTTCCATCCCACACAAACAGTTACGTTCGGACGTAGGATTATGCACTCAAATGATCACTGCGGCCGAGTTGAAGTTCCGTCCCGCACTAACAGTTACGTTCGGACATAAGATTATGCATTTAAATTATCACTGCGGCCGAGTTGAAGTTCCGTTCCGCACTAACAGTTACGTTCGGACATAAGATTATGCATTCAAATGATCACTGCGGCCGAGTTGAAGTTCCGTCCCGCACTAACAATTGCGTTCGGACATAAGATTATGCACTCAAATGATCACTGCGGCCTAGTTGAAGTTCCATCCCGCTCAAACAGTTACTTTCGGACATAAGACTATGCACTCAATTGATCAGATGAAATGTCAATCCTAAAACAGATGACTTTGCATCCATTGCTGGCTATCCTATGTCTCCCTCCCTCTTATGGTTACTGATTTCTCTCCTTCACTCCCTTTGAATTACCATTCAAATTTACAGTGTCAGCGCATCATTAATCAAAATTCTCGAACGTGATTGGTCATCACCAGACCGATCTGAGCACTAAAAGGACAGGGTACGCGTCATGCTTGTAATAGGACAGTGCAAGAGGACAGTTGAAGTGACAGTTAACACGTCATGTCTGCATGTAAGTGGACAGGACGCGTCATTTGCGCGCGCTATCGTCACGCCTTTTGCCAAGTTAGCTGTTTCTTTTTTTGTTGTTGTTGTCAAAACGTATAATCGATGTCTATTTTTTTCTTTGAATTTTGTCATAACTTTAATTAATTGGTAACAGGAATTCGTGTCGTCCAATTCTGTCTGTAATCATACTCGTCATAAACAAATCGGACTCCCGGTACATTGGCTCAGTTAGGAATAACCCGTTTCAAGCCCTCAGACCAGGGCAGCGGGTGAAATAACTGTCGTAGGACTGTGGCGGCGAATGTGGTTATTAAGGAAACAGCTTTGTGTAGCCTTATTTTTTCTCTTTGCGTGATCCTACCTGGTAATTCCTTCTTCTCCTCTGACTGAGGGTCTGGTAAGGGGCGGGGAATTAACCAATGTCTTTATGGTTTATTTTTCAAAACTACATTGCACTGATAAAGAGGAACTAGGGTTTCAAGAATTCAGAGACTGAGTAGATGTATGAAATTAATATTTTGGTAGCATTAGACTGCGCGCATGGGATATGCCATTTATATATTTCATGAGTGAAAACAACAAGAAAACAGACTAAAGAGAAGGTGGCTGAAACTAACATATATTGTCTTTTATACAAACAACACGAACCTTGAGATGATGCCAAAAAAACAAAACAACGACAACAAAGCAAAACGAAAACAGAAAACAACAGCTGATGTATTCCACAAAAATCATGAAACTTTAGATGGCGCTTAAAAAAGGTAAAAGAAAAAAAAAGGAAGACGAAGAGATAGTGCAATTCGAGTACAGGTCGCCTGACTTAAGAGAGAAGAGAGCGAGAGACTGGGACAAAAAACAAAAAAACCAAATTCACTCGATTGATTATTTATTTTTCTGACAATATTTTCACAGTTTTCATTCCAATTTCAAAATATACAATACTTTCATTCATTAAAATAAATAGTCAGAGAAAGCTGGAATGTGTAGGCATTGGCCAATTTTTAAATGTAATTTAGTATTAACAACTTAGGTGATAATACTAAATTACCCTGTTATACTCTTCCACCGACGCAGCGGAAACTTACCCCCTCCGTTCAATGTTTAAATGGTCATGTACGTAATACACACAAAAGAAGACGTTTCTTTCATTCGGAAAGAATAACGAGGAAGAGAACACGAAGGCAGACGAGAACAAAGAGATGATACTTGTCTTTGACATATGCTCTTGACATAACTTACTTCAAAATATATTTTTAGTCTTCTTCAAACGGAAGAACTCGTTAACTTGTGAAACTTATGAAAATGTAAAATTTTAAGAAGATTTTGAAACAATCAAATTATTTTAAAAATACAATATG